GGACATAGTGGTGGAGACTTGCTAGTTTGATTTATAAGTGTTACAAAAAGAAATAGGAGAAGCAAATCAAGCAAAAGAGTAATATCAACAAAGTCCATACATTTTCAGACTCACAAGCTTACCACCTACATTAAATTCACCATTATGTAGAAGCTTGTTTTGGCAGTATTCCTTAGCTTTCACACGATTACAACATGTATTTTTTCTTTCCTTGCCAAAAGGTTCAGTACAGTCAAGTTTAAAAACATACCGTAGTTCAGTTTCTTTTAAGGGTTATGCCTAATACATTGTTTCTACTGACACAGGTTTTGCAGTAACAGTTGACCCAATTAAACATTTCCACCCCACTAGGAACTTCAAGTGCCTTTAAATTCAGCCTAAAAACAATAACACTAGTGTTGGTCAAAGTGGTAGCTACTTCACTTTGTATATTTTTACCTACAGGTAAGCTTATAATAAATCTTACCTGTAGGTAAAATGAATATCTCCTAAACATTCACCTTTTAGGGGATATTTTATGGAGCAGCAGCCGGTAACAATACAGGCGCATGCACTCTCAAGGAACATGCCATTCCTTCAGAGCTGTGTGCCGTGTTCAAAACTCCTGCACGCATGCGTGGGAGTGACGCCATCGGTGGCTCGGCCATTCAAACAGCTGCAGCTGGAAGATCAGGTGAAGATGGAAGCCTCCCGCAGCCAGTGACAGCATGCCACTGGAGGCCTATTGCCTGCTGTTCTGATTGAGTGGCTTTTATCCAACAGAGTAGTTAAACAGAAGTCAATCAGTAGATCAACTTGTGTTCAACAGCAGTGGCCACATGTAAATCAGAATTCAGGAGGTCAATGAACTGAATTTCAATCCATGTATGGCCAGCTTTACTCCCTCCTGAGTCAAGCTCCTTCTTTTTGTGTATAGGAAGCTGTTCTCAGCCACAATGAGAGTGCCTTGTCATTTGATGGATAAAGGACTCTGAAAAAAGCTGACCAAGTTTAGATCTCTGGGTATTAGAGGCTGTGGGTGTCATGTTGTTTGCTTTTCCATTGATGTTCCAGAGAGAAGTTTCTTAAAAGATTTGTGCTACAAGTACAGTTACCCATGACTGAAAATATTATATAATATCAAAAATATTCCAAGTCAAAAGAAAAAATGCAAATCCTCAGGCTCATAAATTGAACATGGCCAACCTGCCATACTGTTTTTGTTCATTATCTATTTACCCAGGAACTGCATATTGATCATATTATATTATGATTTTAACAGTGAGAATTATTTGGTCAGATGGGGAAGTAAAGGTTTTCCAAAAGAAATAGACATGCTGAACAATCTGAAAGTAGTTTTTACGGTAAGTTTTCAATAAATTTAAGAGAAGCAAAAATGAGAAGCAATTCTATCAATGATTCATTCTTTATTATTCTTTTAATGGTGACTGTTGTATAAGGAGAAAACACACACACAATAAAACACACAATAAAGTTGGTTGAGAATCAGATTTAATCTTAAACTGTTGTTAGAGCAGTAAAGATGTGAACTCCATTCCACAGTTAGTGGTATTCACGGAGAGTGTAGATAAATTAGAAGAAATATCAGATGTGTTTCTCAGAGATCACAATATACAGGGATATAGAAATTTGTAGCAACAAACACACACTCGTTGAACTATATGGCCTGTATCTTTATTCAACCTTGCCAGGTACGCCATTATGTTTTTGATTCCGTCCTTTTCCTGAAGCAAAAATAAACTTAGGGGTTAGCACTTCTGCCTTGCAGCACTAGGATCCCCAGTTTGAATCCCGGGCCAGGACACTATCTGAATGAAGTTTGCATGTTCCTCCCTGTGCTTGTGTGCGGTCCTACGGGTCCTCCAGTTTTCTTCCACACTGCAAAGACAGGCTGGTAGGACAATTGGTTCCTATCTTAAGTAGCCTTAGTTTGTGTATGTATGCACATCAATATGAGAACTGATGTACATGGAGAGAACCCATGAAGAATAACAGATGAAGATGGGATAGAAGAAAAATGAGTATCAACATATAGATGATGGAACGATAAAAAACTAAATCTAATAATTAATTGATAAAAAAAGAGGGAAAATCGTGAGTTAAAGAGTGGTGGATACATAATGAGGTGAATGAAGAAAGTTTATAGGCAGAATTATAAGGAATGCGTTGGCTATTTTAGGACCAACTTATTAACAATTAAAAATATCTCATACTCTTTCATTCTTTTTCATCTGGCACTTAATGGGCAGTTGTTTTTTTTTACATCCTATTAAATGATATACATTTTTATAATACTGATCAAAGATTCTAGTTCCAAAGGTTTAAGTGTACATTTTTCACTTATAACTCTCATACATTGCATTACACAGTAATAATAATAAATGCAAAAGATTTGTGAGAGGTTAAATAAAGATTGTAAATATATCCTGAAAGCTTTTGGAATCATAGATAAATGAGTGCCAGGATCATTAAGAATAAATAAATATTGGTTTCATTACACTAGGCTAAAAACCCTTTCAATTTGATTTGAGAAAGGTGAGACAAGCCCCTTACTTTGATGTTAAACAGTATAGCCCTTAAATTTAAAACAATTCCACACTTTTGGGGTTCGTGATTGAGGCTATGCTCCACATTTTACTCTTCTAGCCCCTTTAAGCAGAGAAGTACTTAAAATGTTACTAAACCCACAACAGTAAAATCAGTGTCAGGGCTCCGGGGTGTGACCAGAGGTATGTGACTGACGCAGGGAAACGCAGATTTCAGATATGTTATAAACAATATAATTTATTAACACTAACATACAAACATAAATGCAGTGCAATACTAAAAACATAACACAGTGCAAACCAACCAAACCAACCACCCACAGATAACAGTACATACAATGCAAGCGTCGTCAGGCAGGCGGGTCAATAACAATCGGGCAGGTAGGTACAGGGGGAGCAAGCGGAGAATGGTCGGGGTCACAAGCCAGGTTCAGCAGGTAGCGGGCAGCGTGGTACAGAGGGTCAGGCAGAGGGATGGTCAGGAACGAGCCGGGGTCAGAGCAGGAGAGGGTCAGCGTAATCAGAACAGGCAGAGTTTGGCAACAAGGAAACGTACTAGCAGGAACACAGGAACAGGAACAAGAATGCAGGATTACAAGATACAGGGCCCAGGAAAAACACACACACCAAGGCAAAGACTGCAGGTCTGGCCATCACTTAAATACACCTGCATAAGCAGTTTCAGGTGTTTGGCTGACTGCAGGGTTGAGTCTCTGATTGCTGGGAGCACCCGCTGGCCAGCCCTGGTACTGCAGCCCACAAGGCAGGTGAGTCCCACCACTACTGGCAAGTCCATTCCTAACAGTACCCCCCCCCCTCAAGGAGCGGCCTCAGGACGCTCCAAACAGTCCTAGCTGGGCAAAATGTTCCACCGCCCGGGTCTGGTAACTGGCGGGATATCAAAGACTGGCACATCGGGCAGGACTCCGGGCAGCGGCACACCGGGCAGGACTCCGGGCAACGGCACACCGGGCAGCGGCACATCGGGCAGGACTCCGGGCAGCGGCACATCGGGCAGGACTCCGGGCAGCGGCACATCGGGCAGGACTCCGGGCAGCGGCACATCGGGCAGGACTCCGGGCAGCGGCACATCGGGCAGGACTCCGGGCAGCGGCACAGGACTCGGGCAGGACTCGGGCAGGACGGGGCACATCATCGGGCAGGACTCCGGGCAGCGGCACATCGGGCAGGACTCCGGGCAGCGGCACATCGGGCTGGACTCCGGGCAGCGGCACATCGGGCTGGACTCCGGGCAGGGCGGCACATCGGGCTGGACTCCGGGCAGAGGCACATCGGGCTGGACTCCGGGCAGGGCACATCGGATCACCAGGTGAAGCAGGGCACCGGGCCACCATGCGGAGCAGCAGGCACCGGGCCACCAGGCGGCGCAGCAGGCACCGGGCCACCAGGCGGAGCAGCAGGCACGGGACACCAGGCAGAGCAGCAGGCACCGGGCCCCCAGACGGGGCGACAGGCACCGGGCCCCCAGGCGGGGCGACAGGCATCGGGCCCCCAGGCGGGGCGACAGGCATCGGGCCCCCAGGCGGAGCGGCGGGTGCTGGACCCCCAGGCGGAGCGACAGGTCTCGGGCCCCCAGGCGAAGCGGCAGGTCTCGGGCCCCCAGGCGGAGCGGCGGGCGCCGGACCCCCCCCAGGCGGAGCAGCAGGCACCGGGCCCCCAGGTGGGGGGCAACAGGCGGAGCGGCACCGGGCCCCCAGGTGGGGCGACAGGCATCGGGCCCCCAGGTGGGGCGACAGGCATCGGGCCCCCCAGGCGGAGCAGCGGGCGCCGGACCCCCAGGCGGAGCGACAGGTCTCGGGCCCCCAGGCGGAGCGGCAGGCGCCGGACCCCCAGGCGGAGCGACAGGTCTCGGGCCCCCAGGCGGAGCGGCGGCGCGCCGGACCCCCAGGCGGAGAGTGGGCGGGCGCCGGACCCCCAGGCGGAGCGACAGGTCTCGGGCCCCCAGGCGGAGCGGCGGGCGCCGGACCCCCCCCCAGGCGGAGCGACAGGCACCGAGTCACCAGGCACGACAGTGGGCTCCGAGTCAACTGGCATGACCACGGACACTGGGTCAGACATTGGATCGTCTGGCTGGACAGCGGGCATCGGGTCACCAGGCATCAGGTCATTTGGCTCGACAGCGGGCACCGCGTCATCTGGCAAGGCAGTGGGCACTAAGTCACCAGGCACGACAGTGGGCTCTGAGTCGATTGGCACGACAGCGGCACCGGGTCATCAGGTACCGGATCGTCTGGCTCGACAGCAGGCACCGGGTCATCTGGCGCTGGATCGTCTGGCTCGACAGCGGGCATCGGATCACCAGGCATGACCGCGGGCCCTGGGTCATCAGGCATTGGATTGTCTGGCTCGACAGCGGGCATCGGGTCACCAGGTATGACAGCAGGCACTGGGTCATCAGGCATCAGGTCATTTGGCTCGCCAGCGGGCACCGCGTCACCTGGCAAGGCAGTGGGCACCGAGTCACCAGGCACGACAGCGGGCTCTGAGTCAATTGGCACGACAACGGGCACCGGGTCATCAGGTACCGGATCGTCTGGCTCGACAGCAGGCACCGGGTCATCTGGCGCTGGATCGTCTGGCTCGACAGCGGGCATCGGGTCACCAGGCATGACAGCGGGCACTGGGTCATCAGGCATTGGATCGTCTGGCTCGACAGCGGGCATCGGGTCACCAGGTATGACAGCGGGCACCGGGTCATCAAGTACGGATCATCTGGATCAACAGTGGGGCATCGAGTCAACTGGCCTAATAGGATCATCAGGCTGGATCAGTTCATCAGGCTGGGTAGAAACATCATGCTGGGTAGAGGCAGCAGGCTGAATGGAGGCAGCAGGCTGAATAGAGGCAGCAGGCTGAATAGAGGCAGCAGGCTGAATAGAGGCAGCAGGCTGAATAGAGGCATCAGGCCGGGTAGAGGCATCCGGCTGGGTACAGACATCAGGCTGGGTACAGACATCAGGCTGGGTACAGACATCAGGTTGAAGTGCGGGTGCCGAGGCACCAGGCTGAACCACGGAAGGTCCGGTTCTCAGACGGCAGGCTGACCGGTTTGGATACTGGCAGGATGGTACTGGTTGGAAAGAATTTTCGCTTTTTTCTGGTTTTAACTACTGGAGCACTGCAAGTAAATGCAGGTCTGCAAACGAATGGAGCCGCTGGAGACAGAGAAGAGCTGGAGACAGAAAAGAGCTGGAGGATGGAACAGGGAGGGAACAGTTGCTACAGAGGACTTCTTTACAGGGTTAAAGGCAGGATAGGTGCAGCGAGTGGGAACAGGGTACTGACATGCGGTAGATAGCAGGGCAGGAGGAGCTGTTGGGAATGCAGGAATAGAGCTTTGAGGAAATAGATTAGAAGCAGGACTGGGTTTTTGCAAGCTGACTGAGTCTGGGTGCAACAAATCTGTCCATGTCTGCAGTATGGGTTGAACAAAGCTGAGCTTACACAAAGCCTGTCTGACCAAAGACTGCACTGCGTTTATACAATCTCTTAGTATCTGTGGTGAACATGCAGAATAACGCTCCAGAAAGTAATCCACATCATCCTCTAATAACCATACCAGGGACTCTACCTGGTCGGCACTAAATGGTGGCAAAAATTCATCCCTGCATTCGGGGGTACCAGATGAAACCAACTCCGCACAAACCTGAATCAATGGCTGCACTTCAGAGAATTCTGTGCCCTGATCTACTAGAACATGAGCGAGCCGTATACATTCTAGCAGTTCATCCCTGGGATACTCCTTCAGAGTCTGATAAGCATACTCTCTGTCATCAAACACTAGCAGATATAAATACACAACCTCATCCAGATCCATCCTTCCCATCAACAAACCAAGATGGCTTCCCTGTGCAGCCACTTCTGGTCAGGATTGGCCTTGGTGTAATGTCAGGGCTCCGGGTGTGACCAGAGGTATGTGACTGACGCAGGGAAACGCAGGCTTCAGATTTGTTATAAACAATATAATTTATTAACACTAACATACAAACATAAACGCAGTGCAATACTAAAACATAACACAGTGCAAACCAACCAAACCAACCACCCACAGATAACAGTACATACAATGCAAGCGTCGTCAGGCAGGCCGGGTCAATAACAATCGGGCAGGTAGGTACAGGGGGAGCAAGCGGAGAATGGTCGGGGTCACAAGCCAGGTTCAGCAGGTAGCGGGCAGCGTGGTACAGAGGGTCAGGCAGAGGGATGGTCAGGAACGAGACGGGGTCAGAGCAGGAGAGGGTCAGCGTAATCAGAACAGGCAGAGTTTGGCAACAAGGAAACGTACTAGCAGGAACACAGGAACAGGAACAGGAACAAGAATGCAGGATTACAAGATACAGGGCCCAGGAAAAACACACACACCAAGGCAAAGACTGCAGGTCTGGCCATCACTTAAATACACCTGCATAAGCAGTTTCAGGTGTTTGGCTGACTGCAGGGTTGAGTCTCTGATTGCTGGGAGCACCCGCTGGCCAGCCCTGGTACTGCAGCCCACAAGGCAGGTGAGTCCCACCACTACTGGCAAGTCCATTCCTAACAATCAGTCTGCATATGCAGTAAAGCATTCTTGTTGTACTCACTGTGGAACCTAAGGGTTCCTCCGCATTGTGTTAAAACGCTATTTCATCCCATCTTCTCTCATCCAATCCATCTGCTGATAGTACAGAGCCCTTAGAGTTACTCTGCAAATGGTCAGTTTTGTGTATTGATAGAGATTTGTTCTTGTGGGGGGGGGTGCATGTGATCAGCACTGTGTCAATCAGCACTGTCCAGACAGAGGGCCAGGGGTCATGCAGCCTCATCGGATAGTCAGAGGAAAATGAAAGCTCCTCCTACAAGCTTGAACCAGTGGTTGGCCGGACACTTATAGAAGTCACAAGACTACTATATACTGCTGATGAGAAAATGTATTTAGCAATTTATATTTACTAAAATAATTGAATTTCCATGTTCTGTGTACTGTGGAGGACCAGATATAGTGAATGCAGGGTAACACTTTAAGAAATCTTTCTCTGGATAAGGTATCTGCTACAACTTCTGTTAGGCAGACTGGCTGTGGATGACTTTCTCGTTGTCATTCCTGTCCCTGTAAGGGACAACCTTCTCATTACACTATTTTAGCTACATTTGGAAGCTCATCATTTTGGCTTATGGAATTAATGACAAGGTCCCACCTTTCCCTGTGAAAGTACACTCCACTAGATCGGTTAGAGCTTCCTGGTTTTTCAGCATAGCAATTTGCTTCTTTGGTTGTAAGGTTCTTCAAGCAGCTGTGTGAGCTCTTTCTAGCCCCTTCTATTAACCACTTGAGCTGTGGAAGGTTTTACTCCTTTCATGACTAGGCCATTTGTTTGCTATATAGCACTGCACTACTTTAACTGGTAATTGCGCAGTCATGAAAACCTGTACCCAAATGAAATTTATATAATTTTTTTCCACACAAATAGAGATATCTTTTGGTGGTATTTGATCACCACTGGATTTTTATTTAATTTATTATTAAAAATATATAAAAAAAATACTATACACTGTCACTGTACTAATGACTCTGGCTGGGAAGGGGTTAACATCTATGGGTAATCAAAAGGTTAACTGTGTGGCTAACAATGTGTAATGTGTGCTGTTTTTATACTAAATATCTCTTTGTTCCTTCTCTCAAGGAAAATAAGCAAACTAATTTTGTTTTTTGTTTGCCAACACAGGGCTCAAGGCTATGATTGGACACAGCCAATCAGCAGGTCGCAGCCATGAATCATTGGCTGGACCTGCTGACAAAATCCCGCTGTGTCCAATCACAGAGGGAGTTGGTTGGGAGGGATGGGTTGGTGGGGGGCACGAACACACTGAACCCGGAAGACACTGCTGATGTACAGGTACATGGCAGTAAACTGTGGGTAGGAGTCAAGTGATAATCTGTTTTTCACATGTACCTGTTAGTGGTTTTTTTTTTTGCTGTGTTAACCACCGCTCAGTTCAGTTGGACTGCTATGGATGCTCCTTCATTGTATGATTAAGAAAACAGGATTTTTGTCTTTCTTGTAAAATCCTTCTCTTGGAGTACATTAAGGGACATGGTTTCTTCCCTTCTTTTCTTATAATCCACTCCTACTATTGCTTGTTACAAAACTGAGACATGCTGTAAGCGGTAGGGGGCTTTCTTACAGCTCTGTTTGCCAGTGTCCAATCTGATGAAGGCAGTTGTATGTACCCAAATACTCCTGTGTACCTTAATGTACTACAAGAACAATATTTTACAGGTAAGACAAAATCCTAATATTTGTGGCTATAACAAGATTATAAAGCTATACTCAAAACTAATTTACCAAGTTTTCTAAAATTTTATGTGGTGGTACTGATGTTCATGTATCTTATTCATAATGGTTATGATACCAAAATTTAATGGTCTCGCATTTAAACAACTATGTAGCATATATGTATGTATTTATTTTTAATTTTATGTAGGATCTTGGAAACAGGGATCTTAACAGAGATCGAATTTACTTAGTATGCCAGATAGTAAGAATTGGACGAATGGAACTTAAAGAAACTAACATAAAAAAGTGCACACAAGGATTAAGGCGTCCCTTTGGTGTAGCAGGTACAGTATCAGAACTTGCTTAATATATACTGTTTAATTATGTTAATAAAATACTTCACACTACAACTTTTGAAGACCTAAAGAAAGCTGCACATACACGGTTAGATTTTCATTTGAACAATAGTGGAAGAAAAGTTTGTCAGAACATTCTTTCTATCAATCGAGTCAGCTAATTTGATTCAAAAGACATTAAAGATTTTGTCCAGACCTGCTATTGGATTGAAATACCAGATCTATTAAACAGGATTCATTACAATTCATTACAACATGTGCAATTTTTCCCAAACAAAAACCACATTCACAGTAAACATTTTAAGGATTTGAAGAAAAATTTCCATCCTGCTCCTTGAAATTTTCTGATCATTATGATCAAGCTGGTGCATAGCCAATCTCAGACTTGCCCAAGCTGCACCATCTGTCATTCTGCCTCTCTTATGCTTTATACACATGTATGTCTGTAATATTATGTTTTCATGGTCTGTAACCAATTGTGCTTTGAGGGTGAGCCCTGAAAATGTATATTATTATGGTATCCCCACACTTGGATGGTTGTCTACTGCCTAAAGAAACTGCATACCTGGCATCTTCAGCTTTGCATGGTTGTAGAAAAGTTCAACCACATGACATGAGCATTGTGATAGCAATACAAAAAACAGATATTTTGACAATATAATGTTAGCTTTCTTGAAACATTTCTTTTCATGTTGTGAGCTCTGCCTATCTGCAGGCCAACTCCTTCAACAATGTCTTGGATTCCCTGCATGCTTTGCACCTTCTACTCTTCTGTTTACCTTCTAAGGACTACATATCCCATGGTGCTTTGCTGCCTGCAAGCACTGATTCCTCTACTGGCTCCATCTCTTGAGACTCCTCCTCTTAGCACCTCTGTAGGAGGTAGACTCTGTGAAATGTGTGACATAGCAGTGCATATAAACATAGCACAGTGAATACATGTCACAGAATTCAAGGAAGTAAAGTTTTAGGGGCTCTTCACAAAGTAAGTTTACAAACTTAAAGATCATTCATGCTAATAGCAGTAGGCTTGAAAGAAATAAAATACAACGTGGAAAATGAATATATGGTTTTACATTTTGACCATAGATATGCTTTAAAACATTTAAATTCCCAATCTTCTAGTGCTGGTACAACACCTTGCAGCTTGCAGGAAGTAGGAAGTAAATGGAAGTTGTTTCAGTTGCAAAGCAAACAGCAGCAGGTTGGAATGCATAAAATAGGTTTACTAAAATGCAATAACCAGGTTGAATTAAGGTGGTTGGAATATGAGCTAATAATCCACTTTAGTGTTTAGTCTGGTTTCAAGTGTATCTATACCCCAAACTTTTTTAACTAATTGGATAGAATGGGGCAAAATGGAGATAAAACCCTTTTAGGTTTATCTGTTAGCTTGGGAAATTTTTTTCTCACTTTCTGTTCTGCGGAGAACCTTTTATCAGATACAAAGTGAGGAAAAATCAGAAGACAGC